ACTTGAAGCAAGGCTTTCCATCTTAATCCTTAGGGGTGGCAACGCATCTGCATTTTGGTTCTTAATCGGGGAAAAATATCTTTGGGCCACAGCATCCACTTATAGTAAGGTAGACTATGACGTTTGTCACGCTTATTGTAATAATTATATTAAAATAATTAAAAATTAAACATTTTGTACAGCCGACTTCAATATAACTTATTAAGAATAACTCCAATAACTCAAAAACTATTGGTCTGACCTTCATCAAATTCATGTGGGACCACACGAGAAGTATCAGCTTTAATATAAAAAAGAATCATCGAAATCGGTCCACCTAGTAAAAAGTTATGACGTAACACACATAAAAAAAAACATACGCGTCGAATTGAGTACCGTCTCCTTTTTGGAAGTCAGCAGAAAACTTGATAAATGATGATACATCAGAATTACTGGCCATCACTTAAGCATTACATTATACTTTTTAAAATTAAAAAAGAAAACACTGAAGCAACAAAAATGTTTTAAAATAATATTTTTTTTTATGATTCGTGACCTTTCATGACAATTTTAATTACATTCGGCTCCCTGGTTTCAATTTATTTGAAAGATAGCCTTGGTGGCAATTTTAATTTAAAAAGTAGATTGTATCGTTGTGTAATTTAAGTCTATTTTAGACGAAATTTATGGTGGTGACTTTCTTTAGTTTTGTTTTTTTTTTACGATAAGATAAGATAATTCCTAAGAATATACACTTTCAAAGATTGACGTAATAAATAAAAATATTTGACTAACACTCGTACATTAAAGAAGGAAAAATAATAAACAAGCTATTATCCGAACTGACACATATTCAGAACTTTGACTCGGCATATCATGATGCCGCATTAAGTTATCTTCAGTGCTCATTTACATTTTTACCAATAATTGTCGTCGAACAGCATACTCCGCACTTTGAAGAAGTCTCTTATTTGAAGTACGAAAATAATTGGCATATCTAGCGTTTTTGACTGATCAAAGCTTGTATAGGGGCTTAAAAATATATAGGGGCTTGTACAAGAACTTAAAAATAACATAATTTTTCAGTATTATTCTTAAATATTATCGAACGATCATTGACACTATTTATGTATTATTTTTTAAACAACATCAGTGAATGTATCTATTCTTCGCGCAGAGCACTCTGCTAACTGACGAACGAGACTGGTGACCCACAAACGGCAGTAATTTCTATTCCAAATTTGATGTGCTTAATGTTGACACCACCTTAAGATACGCTATAGAAAATACATGATCCAAATCACATAGTCTAATGAAGCTGGTGAAATTTTTATTTATTTCGTTGAACATATAAAGATATTTCTCCTTACCGAGAAAAAAACGAGATATTATTAATATAAATTCGATTGAGGTTTATGTGCTGAATCATTGCATTAAGAAGAAACTGTCAGCATGGATAAAGATTAATTCTTAACGATGCCAATGACTAGACAATTTTTTTTCCTCCAAACAATTATCAAATGAATTCATAAACTTTAAAGCAAGTAGCGCAAGTCCACTGCTGATGCCCTTTACAAGTCCACTGCTGATGATGTAGAGTGGCTTCGAGTGCGGTCTTCACTGAGCGCACGAGACGCTCCCATGCGCCTCCCTGGTTAGGCGCGCCTGGTGCGATGAATTTCCATTCTGTTTGCCGAGTCAGCGCGTAGTCCTTTCGCTGCGGTGCCCACTCTCCCATCGCCCGTTGCAGTTCTGTATTTGCCCCATGAAAATTTGTGCCATTGTCGGAGTATATGACCCGTGGCCACCCACGCCTAGCCGCCATGCGCCGCAATGCCGATATCGCCGAGTCCGTTGTCAGGGAGTAAACTAGTTCTAAATGAACCGCGCGCGTCGTTAAGCACGTGAATAGTTCTACCCACCGTTTTTCGGTCCTATCGTAACTATCAGAGGCCCGAAATAGTCGACTCCGGTGTACGTAAATGGTCGCGCAAACGCCCCTGACCGTTCGGGTGGTAGGTCTCCTGTAACCGCAGGCCGTGGTGTCGCCTTGCGTACCCTGCATCGCAGACATCTCCGCTCCGCTTCTTGTACGGTAGGTCGTAATCGGAGGATATGAAACCTGGTGCGTTGACCACCCTCTCTCTGTTGGTGTGGCTTGCTTCCTGATGCGCCTTCTCTACAAGCAGCTTCACGAATTGGTGGCGTCCATTCAGTATGATGGGTCTTTTCATCTGGCCGTACACGTCGGCTGCGTCGATTCTTCCCCTGGCTCGTAGCATTCCATCTTCCGATATGGGGTCGAGCTTCCTCAGTGCGCTGCCGGTGGCCAGGTTCTTTCCCCGCTGAAGGCGGCTGATGTCTTCAGCGAAGCTTTCATGTTGTCTGCGTTCTATTCACATCGGCTCTGCCCTCTGGATATGCTGCAATGTCAGTCCTTGTGCCCTTCCTCGTATGGCATCGACGAATTGCAGTACTCGTGCTGTGGCCCTGATCAATCTCTCGTAGGAAGAGAATCGTTCTATGTCTGGCAGGTGTGGAGCGTCCTTGGTGTCGCTCTGGTGCGTCACGATTTCCTCCAACTCTTCATCATCCTCCGCCTTCTCTTCCTTCCGGTGAGGCCATTTGTCTTCGTCCTCGTAAAGAAATGACGGTCCTGTGAACCATTGGTCGCTTTCTTCTTTGGTCACGAAGTTCATGCGCGTTGCTTGATCTGTTATGTTCTCCGCAGTCGTGACACCTCCTCGACGACTCGCAGCCATCTCTGGAACTCATCTGCTGCCTCTTCGGGTAGTTCGTTATCCCATCCGACCTTCTTCATATACCATAGGTGTTGTAGCAGGATCTTGGCGGTGATGGTGAGGTAGCTAAGCAGTCCGAGTGGGTCAAACACAGACATGACTGCGCTTAATGCTTCCCTCTTGGTCGGTGATCGCTGTAGCGCCTTTACTTCCTGCGGCACCCTATTCATCGATGTGTTGAAGGTTAAGGCGTCTTTGTCGGCCATCCATAACAACCCTAGGGTTCTGCCCAGGCTGTCTTGCCTTAAGCCTACTTCCTTAGGCTTGCTCGCCAGTAGTTCCTCCGGCTTGTCTTCCAATAGGGCTGCGTGGTTATAATTTCAGCCTGCCAAGGTGAAACCGGCCTTCTGGTGCACTTCCGTAACCTGCCTTGCCGTGTTTACTGCTTCCTCTACCGTTGCATAACTGTCTAAATAGTCGTCCTTATAATGACTAAGTACGATAGCGTTAAGCGCCAACGGGTATGTCTCTGCGTGTGCGCGCGCATTATAATCTCTAACACTATGTGCGAGAAACGGCGAGCTCCTCGCACCGAAAATCATTGACGTCATAACGTACTCCCGCGGTGGGCTGTGTCGATCGTTTCCTCGCCAGAGAAACAATTGCGCGGGTTGGTCGCGACGGTCGATTTTCACACTCAAAAACATTTCCCTAATATCCGCGGACACGGATATCTCATTCTCTCTAAACCTAAACAGTATGCCCGGTAAGTTCCGTAATAAATCTGGGCCGTCGAGTAAATAGTCATGAAGATATCTACCGGATGTGCGCGCTGCCGCGTCGAACACTACTCTCGTCTTCCCGGGCTTGTTCGGATTCCGCACTGCGAAGTGTGGCAGGTACCAGCTCTTGGGGTCCTCTCTCTCCATCCCCTCGGCTTCCCTTGCGTATCCTTTCGCCAGGAGGTTGTCTATCTGGGCTGTGTAGGCGTCCCGAAACTCCGGCGACTGGTCCACCTTCCTTTCAATCGTCCATAGTCTTCGAGCTGCCATTTCATAACTGGGTGGCATCCGCACGTTGTCGTCCTTCCATGGCAGTCCAACTTGGTATTGCTCGCCGACCTTCTTGACGGTGCACTGGAATATGTCGACAGCGCGCTCCTCTTCCCGTCGCGGCCTACTCATTAGCGAGATACCTATAGAGTCTATCTCATACTGCCGTTTGGGGAGTTCCGTTAGCTCCTCGTCCTGACTGGCAAACGTTCGGATGTCCCTATCTGGCCGTCCGCTAGTGCTTGCTACGTACACGTATTACAATACGGTCTCGCCGTCTTCCCTACACGTTAACCGCGGCACGGTTCCCTGAATTACCCACCCTAGCAACGTACGTGCAGCTATGGGCTGCCTTCGACGTCCTATTCTTAAATTACGGGTGATTATTAAATGCCAGTTGTCGGCGCCTAATAATAATCTCGGCTTGGCGTCGTCGTAACATACCGAACTCGGTAAGCCGCGTAAGTGTTTCAACCGTAAGCACTCCCTACTCACAGACTGCGAGCCTATCTTTAACTCCGCTATTGTTCGCGCGCTTACATTATACATCTCACTGCGCGTCTTGCCACGTATCCCTATATTAACTAACCTACTATTGGCCTTGCGTTGACTATTATTTACGCCTCTAATATTGAGCGGCTTTACCGGTCCTTCCACTTCTAACTCGCGAGCTGAGTCGTCGTCGATTAACGATATGGTAGAGTCTTCATCGAGTAGCGCATACGTATCAACTTCCTTACCACGCGGTCCGCGCACGGTAATGGGGCATACTTTCAATAACACAGACGCACTACTATTAACATTCGACGCGACGAGCACGCTTTCATCCGGTTTTACCGATGCTTCAGGCGTGCGGGCCTTGCGGGCGTGAAGGAGGGCGTGGTGGGGGACGTTGCAGCCGTCGACGCCGCACTTCCTAGCTTTACAACCTAGGCGTCGGTGTTTGCTGCTTAAACACCTAAAGCACACCCCATCTTCCCTTACCCACTTCCACCGGTCATCCAAACCCATTTGTGCCAGCTTCCTACATTTGGCGATTGGGTGTTCACCCCCACAACACATACACGAGGCACTACCGGTGTCCTCCTGGGCGGTGAACGTCTTTACGCCGCGGGCCCTATCCATTACGCGGCGTGTCAACACTATCCTTTTCGACGGCGGTGCTTCTCGTCTTACGGGCGATTCCTTAGTCGGCGTTACGGACGTATAGGCGTGACTTAACGCACAGTCAGCCTCTCGCATCATAAACTGGGATAGTGTCACAATGTCCGGTTCGTGCGCACTTCCATAGTGCTCCGCATAATCGCACCAATGCGCCAGGGCTAAGCTTACTCGTAACCTCCCTAGTTAGCATCGGATTTTGTAAATATCCTTTGCCGTCGACGTTCTGCATAGTACACACTATATTTTGCAACTTAATAGCGAACGAATTTAACTCCTGGGCGGTTTGACCCGGGCGCGGAAGGCGTTTCAAGTCATCTAACGCACGATCAATAATCACTTCCGGGCGGTCGAAACACTGCTCCAGTGTCCGCATAATGTCTGCTGGATCCTTCGCGGTAAACAGCAGCGCCGATACTACCTTCCTAGTCTCACCATGTAAACAGTTTCTCAACCTTGCCATATTTTCCGTATTGGTGAATCCATACAGACGCGTGGAATTACGGCTTTAAACGATACTAATTGCGGCTTTAAACGATAACCATTTCGCGGCCGAGCCATTGAAAATAGGCAACTCCTGTGTCTGCATCGCGGCGGCTGGTCTAAGCCTTATCATGCCTTCTAAGGCTTCCGCTAATCGTTCTATACCCCTATCTTTCCCTCGCGGGGTGAGCGACCTATCTCTATCCCTATTTCCCTCTAGCCTATGCTGTGGCGCTGGCGACCTATGTACACCTACATCCTTGTAACACAGCGACGGTAATCTACAATCCGCGTGGCGATGTGGCGATCTATGTATAGGCGATAGAGTGCGGCGTTGGACGCGCGACGGCGACGTAACCCGTACACGGCGATCCACCTGGTTCATTTCCACGGGGACTCCATTGTCCCTCTGTATCGTATTTACGCGGCGTGGTTGATCGTTGTTCGCAACTGACCTCCCCTGGGCATCTTCAGCGTGGTCGTAACCGGTTCCCCTACTCGGCGGGGCCTGCTCTATCTCGATGCGGGGCGGGCTGAGACGGGCGGTAGGACGGCTCCCCCCGCACAGTCTCCACGTTCTCTAACCACCTATCAACGCGTACCCTGTTTTCCATTAAATCGTTTTCGTTTAAACTATCCCTATACGTTTCCTCCTGCAGTTGAGCGACGTCCCTAGCGTATTTCTTCTCGATGAGATCTTCTTCGATTTGCAATTGCTTCCTTCTAATTGCAGCTAGTTCCTCCGCGGTATTATACGCGATTTGTTTTAACTTTGCTATCGCGCTAGCTGTCGACCGGGCTGAACGGACTGAACAGACTGACGGGGCACGGGGCGCGAGCCTATGTACAACGTTTGCTACGGGCGCGACGGTACGCTCTGTTGAACTAGTCTCTGTTACCGGAAGATCTTCTATAATCGCGGCGAGCGTCTCTGTACGCGGCACGGATGTGCTAACCTCTCCCAAGCGATCGGTTGTAGACACGGACATAGCGGGGCGCGGCGGCGCGGACGCGGGCGCGGGCGCAGGCATAGATGTGGGCGCGAGCGGGGGCTGGCGCGTGGCGGAGGGCGCTTATGCCAACACGAGATAATCGGACGGGGACGCGGGTGCTTCCTCGAATATCCGCATTCCTACCGGCGTTTCGTCGTCATTCCGTGTCTTCTGGCTTCTTGTCTTCCTCATGACGTCCCACGTTGCGGCTTCCGATCGTCTTCAAAAAGACGCACGTATTGGACGCCGTACCTGCCTCAAGGGAGTTACCAGATGGTCGCAGTTTGGCACCGTTAGGGAGCTAGGGACGATATAGTATTATTTGCTGACGATACCTCTTTAATTTTCAAACTGAAACGGCAGTCAATTAAATATGACGATGTAAATAATGCTCTATCGAAACTAGTAGATTGGTTTAACGCCAACAATTTGCTCTTAAACGGCAATAAGACAAAATGTATTAAATTTACAATACCTAATGTAAAACATTCGAAAACCAATGTGCTCTTAAATGGGGAGGAGTTGAGTCTTGTGGATACCACTGTTTTTCTCGGTATTACTATTGACGCGAAACTTCAATGGGGCCCCCATATATCTAAATTAGCAAGAAGACTTAGTTCTGCAGCATATGCTGTAAGAAAGATTAGAAGTCTCACAGATGTTGAGACAGCTAGGTTAGTGTATTTTAGTTACTTTCATAGCGTAATGTCTTATGGAATTTTGCTATGGGGTAATGCGACTGATATTGAAGCTATATTTGTTTTGCAAAAGAGAGCCGTACGGGCGATTTATAATCTAAATTATAAAGAGTCCCTTAGAGAAAAATTTAAAGAAATAAACATATTAACTTTGGCATCGCAATATATTTATGAAAATGTAATGTATGTACATAAAAACATAAATAGCTTTAATAAGAATAAGGATGTTCATACCTTAAACACTAGGAACAAACATAAGCTTGTAATGCCACTTACAAGACTCCACAGAATTAGTAATTCATTTATGGGGCAATGTATACGCTTTTACAACAGAATCCCAGAACATGTTCAAAGTTTGTCAATAAACAAGTTTAAAAGTTTTATTAAAGAAAAACTGTACAAAAAGGGTTATTATAATATCAAGGAATACATGAATGAAAATAACCCCTGGGAATAAGGTGATCGCCACCATGCTGGTTCTATGAAAATTCATTTAAAATTGTATAATCAAAATTATTGTTAAGTGAAATTATGTTTAAAAAAAAAGTCCCGCTGGGTTTCTTGCTGGTTCTTCCCAGGACATAGGTATTTTCCGAACCAGTGGTAAATAAAATAATGACTTTCAATAAGTATTATGTAATAATCCATATTGAATAAAAATCATTCTATTCTATTCTATTCTATTCTTTCTTCCTTGAAGATCTTCTGTAATGATCTTCTTTCTTCTATGATTATCTTCTTTCTTCTATTATTATCTTCTTTCTTCTGGCTTCTATCCGGCTCGAAGGACTAAGAATATTAGGGACTGTGGTGGACTGTATGAATTTAATGTATAAAACTGGTTGACTGACTAATTACTACGCTAGGGACTGCTTAAAGGAAAGATGGTACTGTAGACTATACTGTATTCAAATATTTACAAATGCGGCACTAATAAACTATATACAGAGAGGGGAGTCTTCACTCTTAAATCTTCAATGGAGTATCTCTTGATTTCTCTTGATGCTTCTTCTCTTGCTGTTGTCTTCGAGTGCCGCTTCCGAAATGAACAACTCACAGACCAAAACGCCCTTCTTATATCTCGCAAGAGAGCGTCTCAGTATGTGAGTAGCGTCGTAAGGCGATGCCGCGCGCTGATTGGTCGGCGACATCGCGTGGTCTGCTGCCGGCTGCTGTCTGTCGTGGTTATGTGGGACTCACTGTGACTATCCTAACGGGGACCGTAAGTGATACCCGCTAAACTCCACTTTGGGGGCTGGCAATTGACTGATTAAGCCTCTTTGCCGGATCGGAGGCAACCGTCTTTTGGGAGAAGAGACTCAGAAGCGGCAAGCCAAAACACCTGCTATTTATATAACATGCTGACGCAACCGCTCCCCACTTAAGTAGCTAGCGACTGCGTCATGCGATAAAACATGCGACCAACCACCAACTGACGTACGCAGTGATATGTAAAATTAATAACAAACCGCCGCAAAATACCTGCCTACTCTAGAACCGATGATGAACTAGAATGATGTGGTGGTGGTGGGGCTGCAGGGGGAGAGTAGTGTCGGTATTGCGAGGCGCCGCTCTCCCTACCCTCCGCGGCCGAAACTTGGTTGACGGCGGGAGAGACCAGATCCGCCGCTGGGGTCGGGAAAGCAGGTGCTACTAAGCGCTCGATTTTCCTGGCCCCATGGCCTCCGCGTATCGGACTCGAGGGGGGAGGGCGCACCTTGTGTTCCTGGTGCGCCTTGCCTGAGAAGGAGAATGGGGGAGGAGAGGTCATCTCCCGAGAAGGGGCTGCCATAGGGCGGCCGGTGCTGGTGGAGCCGCGGATGTGTGCGAAAGCGTTTCCGTTGCCCTGCCAATATGCGGTGAAAGTGGAACACCATGGGGTTTTAGTCGACATAACCTGTCCTTGTCCCCGCGAGGCGGGTATGCGTAGGCATTTTCAGTCATTTGCTTTTAAAAAGTTGGTGCGTAATCATTTGTTAAAGACAACGCTTCTTACATGAATCATCCATGTCATTTATATTTTAGACGTATATATTTATAGTTATTTATATATACTATTTGTAAATGTATATTAATATGAATATATGTATGCTTATGTATGTACGTATATATTTGTATACATGTATAAATAGGATATATTTTTATGGTTTATTTATTGTATATATTAGTAAAATGTATATATAACGTAATTAATTATCATTTCTATTTTGTTTTTATTCTATATTGCTACACCTACTTCAAATTCTCACCACTCCATGGGTTGACTGGTAGAGAATGCCACAAGGCATTAAGTCCACCCTTTGTATTCTTTTAGAAATAAATAATAAATAAATAAATATGTTGACGAGTTATATACATAGCCTTTCAGAGATTTTGACGGCAACTTGAGTCCGCAGACAGTTGGCGATACTATCGTATATTCTATTCTATTCTATTCTTTCTTCCTTGAAGATCTTCTGTAATGATCTTCTTTCTTCTATGATTATCTTCTTTCTTCTATAATTATCTTCTTTCTTCTGGCTTCTATCCGGCTCGAAGGACTAAGAATATTAGGGACTGTAGTGGACTGTATGAATTTAATGTATAAAACTGGTTGACTGACTAATTACTACGCTAGGGACTGCTTAAAGGAAAGATGGTACTGTAGACTATACTGTATTCAAATATTTACAAATGCGGCACTAATAAACTATATACAGAGAGGGGAGTCTTCACTCTTAAATCTTCAATGGAGTATCTCTTGATTTCTCTTGATGCTTCTTCTCTTGCTGTTGTCTTCGAGTGCCGCTTCCGAAATGAACAACTCACAGACCAAAACGCCCTTCTTATATCTCGCAAGAGAGCGTCTCAGTATGTGAGTAGCGTCGTGAGGCGATACCGTGCGCTGATTGGTCGGCGACATCGCGTGATCTGCTGCTGGTGTGCGGGATGCGCGGGGCGCAACGGGGTATGAAGGGGCGACGGGGCGGCGGCTCCCTTCGCCGTTCGTAATACATACCACGACAGCCGGTGTGTCGTGGTTATGCGAGACTCACTGTGACTATCCTAACGGGGACCGTAAGTGATACCCGCTAAACTCCATTTTGGGGGCTGGCAATTGACTGATTAAGCCTCTTTGCCGGGTCGGAAGCAACCCTCTTTTGGGAAAAGAGGGGGCAGAAGTGGCAAGCCAAAACAGCTGCTATTTATATAACATGCTGACGCAACCGCTCCCCACTTAAGTAGCGAGCGACTGCGTCATGCGATAAAACATGAGACCAACCTCCAACTTACGTACGCAGTGGTTTGTA